AGCGTCCCCTTTCATCGCGCTGGGACCACAGCAGCGGTGGCGGCTGCACATTATCCGTAGCAGCAAGGGACACTGGCTGGGCAGGCTTTGGGATCCCCCTGATTCCCCAATAGGAGAGCTTGCAAGCAGCCTCCGCCACCCCCAGTCGGCACCCCCGGCTGTGCTCCCTGGGCGTGCTGGCCCCCCCCATGCCGCAGCCAGCCCGCCCGCCCCTGCCTCCTGCCCCAGGCCTGCCCTGCTGGATTCCTAGCCCCATTTGTGCCTCATTGTCCCCGGCGTCCTGCCGGACACCCAGCCCGTGGTGCCCGTCAGTCCGCGTCTGTCCTGGCAAGGCCACGGGGCAGGTGCCTCTGGCTCCCCCAGCTCCTCGAGCCTCCGGGCCACGGTCGGGGCTCTGCGCGGAGGGAACCCCGAGAACTGGAGCGGGTTCTTGTCTCCTTTCCCTCCCAGGCGACCGGCTTGCATTTCCGCCACACGGACAACATCAACCTCTGGCTGTCCGCCATCGCCCACGTCGGTCTGCCTCCGGTAACGCCGGGCCCGGGTTGGGGTTCAGCTTGACCCAGCACCAGCCCCTCAGCCCTCGCCACACACACTCTCTCCCGGGGACCCTGTACCCTCATCGCTGCGTCTTCTGACTTGATCCGAGAGTTTAGGTTCCTTGGGGCTGTGTTATTGGTGTCTGTCCCCACCTTCCCCGTGGGTAAAAGCGGGCGGAGGCTTTTACCGTGAGGCCCCGGGTGACACGGGAGATGGGGCGCGTCCCGGCCAAGCTCCTCCCCCCGAGAACTGCACAGCGCGAAGCGAGGGCACGCCACAGCCCCAGGGGCCGGCTTGGAAGTCCCGGCCCCAGACCCCAAGTGGACGCATGCTGTGTGTCCTCTCATCCTCTGATCCTCAGCTGGCTCCTTGTCTGTGAAATGGGGGCAGCAGCCCTGCCCTGTCTACTAGGCTGGCAGGAGGGTCGTGATCATGTGACTTCCCTTTGTCACTTGTAGAGAGCTGGGCACACAGGCATGACGGGTTCTCTCTGCTTCGAATTCCAAGACACGGGAACAGAAGTCAAGAAAGACGCTTTGGTGGGAGGCGGGAGCTGTGGAGGCCACGTGTCCTCCGTGGGTGGCGGCACTGAGTCTCCAGATCTGGTCCTTTCTTGTGAATGTGAAGTGAAGAGGCGCTGTGGTTAGACCCCGTTACGGTTGCAGGTGGCGTGGACAGCCGTGCCTGGGGCGACTCAGCTCCTCTTAGAGGGGTCCCCGCCGGTCGGAGGCCTCTGGCTCAGAGACAGGGACCCCCTGCACGCCACCTTCTGGCAAGAGTCCGAGGCGAGGGGCAGGGGCTGGCCATGTCTTTAGGGTGACAGGGCCTGTCCCTCCTGGAGGATACGGCCTGCATCCTGTGCCCTCGACAGCCTATGTGGCGTTTGGTCGATCTGGGCCACGTGGTCTCGGCTTAGTGAGTGTCCCCACTGCCTTGCGTGGACGCTGGGCTGGCCGTAAATGGTTGGAGGGACTGACCTAGAAGCCCCGGGCAACCAGGGAGCACACACCCCAGGTCGCAGAGGACGAGCCCCCGGCGCCCGCCTCCGGTGCCAGCGTGGCCGTGACGGGCGGTGTTCTCCGCAGACCTTCTTCCCGGAGACCACAGACATCTACGACAAAAAGAACATGCCCCGGGTGGTGTACTGCCTGCACGCGCTCAGGTGAGAGAGCCCGGCCTCGGTCCGCCACCTGGGCCTCCGGCGCGTGCGCCCAGCAGCGGACAGCGGACAGCGGACCCGGCGCGGGGCGCGTCCCGGGAGCGAGGATTCGGGGAGCGGCTGTGCTGCACTCCTGTGCGCGTTTGCGGGCGTCCGTGCGTGGCTGTGGGCGAAGGGGAGCGGGCAGGGAAGCGTCTTCAGCCTGCGACTGGGGCGCACGGGACCCACCAAGAGTGTCACGTGCCCGTCACGTGCCCGTCACGTAGTGGGAACAGTGAGGGCTGCTCGGTTCTGCTCGCACCCGGCTGTCAGCCACCGCTGGCCGAATCAGACGGTCCCCGCGTCCACCCCGCCGCCTCTTCCCGACCTCGCTTCCTGTGTCCTCTCTGGCCCCCGTGCCTCGGCGTAGTCTCTGCTGGCCGTGCCCCCCCCACCCCCGTCTCCTTCCTGTGACCGGCGCTGCACAGCACCCAGAGCTCCCGCGGCGCCCTCTCTGCCGCCGGCAGCTCCAGCTGTGGCCGGGTGTCCAGTGACACCCTCCCTGTGGGCCGTGGCAACTCGAGGGCAGTGCTGAGTGGTCCGCGTCCCCGAGCCCCAGACGAGTGGCCCCATGTCTCCCTCCCTCTCACAGTCTCTTCCTCTTCCGGCTGGGCCTGGCTCCTCAGATACACGACCTGTACGGGAAGGTGAAGTTCACGGGTGAGCCCAGCTCCTGCCCTGGCCACCGCGGTCTGCCCGGCCTAGAGGCTGCGGGCTGATGTTGGCCACCTCTGGTGTCATTGCAGCCGAGGAAGTCAGCCACATGGCCTCTGAGCTGGCCAGATACGGCCTCCAGCTGCCTGCCTTCAGCAAAATCGGAGGCATCCTGGCCAGCGAGCTGTCGGGGGACGAGGCTGCAGGTAGGGGCGGCCTGCCCCCAGGGGCCCTCGGATGGAGTCCCAGACCCCTCACCCACTGGCAGGGCATCAGGCCACCTGGCTGGCCTGGCCCCTGTGGGCGTCCGAGGCCGGCAGCCGGCCCGCTGACCTCGTTGCCTGCCCCCTCCTAGTCCACGCTGCCGTGCTGGCCATCAACGAGGCCGTGGAGCGCGGGGTGGCTGAGGACACGCTGGCTGCCTTGCAGAACCCCAGCGCTCTGCTGGGCAATGTTCGCGGGCCGCTGGCAGCCATCTACCAGGAGCTGCTGGCCCAGGCCAAGAGGGAGAAGGCCGCCAGCACCGGGAGCCGCGTAAGGAGGAGGTTTGGGGTGCACGGGCTGGAGAGCTGGCGCCCGGGCCGTCCCGGGTGAGACCGAGACGCCTCTCTCTCCTGTGTCTGGGCTCCAGCGTCGCTCACGGGAACCAGTTGTCAGTTATGAGAAATGGGAGGGTGATTTAGAACACACCGCATGCGGAGGACAGGAGAACAGGCTCCGGGGCTGGGCCTTCAGTGACGGCTGGACACACGGTGGCACGCAGGGGCGGGTGGGACTGGGCTGGCCGGACAACTGTCGGCGCCGGGGGTTGGACCCTACAGTGTCCCAGATTCCTTCCGACCAGGCTGACCTTCGCCTGGGGACAGACGGGCGGGGGCGGGGAGGAGGAGCCGGGCTCGGGGTCCCCTCACACTGCGGTGCTTGCAGGAGGACGTGGAGAGCCGGGACATCTATGACTGCCACCTGACTCAGGCCGAAATCCAGGGCCACGTCAGCCACGCCAACAGTAAGGGGGACAGGCTGGGTGGACGCTGCTTGGAGGCCCAGGCGGAGGCGTCAGGATGCCCTCGGGGTCTGGGGCAGGTCACGCTGAAGGACTTGGGCCCGACCCGTCGCCCCAGAACCAGAGACAGGGTGGGGTGCCTGGGCTGGGGCTTTCCCACACGGCCCGGGGCGTCTTGTCTTTTTCAGTCCTTGGGGCGCTAGAAGCTGTGGACTGGGCGCTGGAGAGTCGGAGGGCTGAGGCCTTGCTCGAGGCCCTCTGGGACCCTGCCCTGGCCCTGCGGGACGTGAGGAGGGGCTTCGCAGACTGGTACCTGCAGCAGCTGAGCTCAGACAGAGAGCAGAAAGCTCAGGTCGGCCGGGCCTGCCCCCTGCCCGCTATAGCGCGGGGGGCCTCAGGGCGAGGCAGGTGGGGGTCATTGGCCGGGTGGGCCTGCACTTCCCCTGGCAGCTGTGGAGTCGTGTGCACAGCCCCGAGGCCTCCTGTGCTGCGTGTCTTCCCGCTTCCAGGAGCTGGGCCTGGAGGAGCTTCTGGAAAAGGAGGAGGTCCAAGCCGGTGTGGCCGCCGCCAACGAGAGGGGTGATCGGGAGCTGGCCAGTACGTTGTCTCCAGGCGGGGTCTGGCCCGGGCTTCGCGGGCTCCTGCGGGGTGGGGGCCTCTGACCCTTGCCCGCCGCTGCAGCGCGGTGCTAACTGCGGCCCAGTTCCCAGCTTAGCGGGGCCTTCTCCGTTCCTCTGTCCCTCCGTCCCTCCGTCCATCCGTCCCTCCGTCCCTCACATGGTGTGCCCCGCCTCAGCTGCCTGGGGGACACTGCACGAGCTCGCTCAGGCCTCAGGCCAGGGACAGTGGGGCACCGCTGGGTCCCGGGCAGCCAGTCCCTTCACCTCCTGGGGTCACAGCCTCCCGGGTGAGGGGCACGCTGGGGTCCCACTCTGCTCCCTTCGGAATGCACACGAGTGTAACTCTCTCTTAAGAGTGTGAGTTGGTGGTGGCCCCCGCCAAGGGCGTTCGTCTGGAGAGCAAGGGTGGAGAGGACCTGAGGGTGAGGGACACGGGCAGCCTGCGGACACCAGGCCTGTCACTAGGCTGGCCTGGCCCCTCCAGAGGGGCTGTGGCCTGCAGGGTCGGCTGGTGCAGCCTCCCTTCCCCCCTGCAGTGCTCCGGGCCGTGCGGAGGATCAACCAGGCCATCCGGGCGGGAGTGGCCGCTGACACCGTGAAGGAGCTGAGGTGCCCAGAAGCCCAGCTGCCCCCCGTGCACCCCTGCGCCTCGGCCGTGTACCAGCAGGAGCTGGCGATGCTCCAGCAGCAGCAGCCGGGGGTGAGGCCCCGCACGCGGTCGGCCTTTGCCTCCCGAGCAGCTGGAGGGGCCGGCAGCCAGCCCGGCGCAGCCTCGGGGGCACTCACGTGCTGGCAGAGACCCGGGGACAGACAAGGCGACCGGCCTTGCCCCCGAGCGTAGTGTAATAGCCACTGTCCTTGGGCAAAAACTGCTTGACACACTCATTCACTCCTCAAAGGAGCCCGCAAGGCCGGTGTCATCGCTGCTGTTTGGGGGTGAGACGCAGAGGTCGCGGACACAGGCACAGGCGTAACTGGGCAGTGAGAGCGAGCGCAGAGCTGGGCGTGCTTGCAGCCCGCGCTGTCCTCAGCCCTGCTGCCCGCCTTCGCCCCGGCCCGGTCCATACCGCTTCTCCAACAACAACGTCGGGGCGATAGGGCCCTCCCTCTGGGACGTCCAGCCTGTTAGAGGAGTTAGAATACACCCAGGGGCCCGGCAGACGATGTAATGCGATAGGACTTCAGACCAGGGAAGCGAGGGAGGAGCCGGGGTGAGCCTGGGAAGGCTTCCTGGAAGAGGAGACCCACACGACGGGTGTAGTCTCAACACCGGCGACTGTAGGACAAGCATCGGGCGAGGACCGAGAGGTGAAGCATAGTGACGGGGGTTGTGGACCTCCAGGCCAGACGCCCGAGTTCAAGTCCACTCTGCTGCTTCCGAGCCGAGGGACCCTGGGCAAGTTAGCACCCCCTCTGCCTTGGTCACATGTCAAATGGGGCCGATGATGTATTTCTGTGCCGGGTCGTTGTAGGTCGAAGAGCCGACACGCGTGCTTAGGGGCGAGGCTGGCCTGCAAGTTTCAGCTTGTTTTTATCCACCGCACTCCGTGCAGACGCAGGAAGGACATTCGTGGCAGAGGGGAGGGCGAGCAGAGGCCCGGAAAGGGGACTGGGCCGGGGCCGGGGGTGCGTGCAGGGTGCGGTGATCTCCTTACCTCCCTGCCGTGTGCCCGGCGGGGTGCGGAAGGGACCGGAGAGGCTGGGAGGGCTCACTGATGGGCTCCGGACTTAATTACCTGACCTCAGGCTCACCTGTGAGGTGCGGCTGTCGGTGGCACCTGCCTCATTGGCTTATTATGAAAATCAGATGATGAGTGTGAAATACGGACACCCTGAGCGCATCTAAGCGTTCTCAAGCGTTAGGCGTGACTGTTCAGGGTGGAGACGGGACGGGGGAGGCGGGGAGTCGGGGGGCGGGAGGCCCCAGGCCCTTCACCGGCCCTCCCCCTCACAGGAGCTTGGCCACGAGGAGCTCTTTGTGGCTGTGGAGATGCTGTCGGCCGTCGTCCTGATTAACCGGGCCCTGGAGGCCGGGGATGCCCACGGCTTCTGGAGCAGCCTGGCGAACCCCGCCACGGGCCTGGCCGGGGCAGAAGGCGAGCACGCTCAGCGGTGAGGGGGATTCGCCGCGTCGGGCGTCGGGCGGGAGGGTGCAGCAGAGACGCCAGGCCTGCCCAGGGCCCCACCTGCTGCAGGAGGCCCTGCCCCCCGGCCCAGGCCCCTTCTGGTCTGCGGGCGTCCCCGGGGAGACGGTGCGGTCACAGTCACCTCCCTCCCTCTGATTAGTCTCTCTTGTCTTGGATCACAAAGATTGGGTCCCACTCACGTGCTGGGAAGCAAGCGAGCAGACAAAGTTCTCCCCCAAGCTGCGGGCTGGCGGGGCAGGCGGGCGCAGGCTTAAAATATTAAAGACTTCAAACGCCCCAAGCACTTCTTCTCTGTACAACATTGATGAATATATATCTTTGCTATATAATTTTAAAACATGGAATAGTTTTCCTTTTCTCTTTGCTATATATAATATATGTCTTCCAAAATACATTGTCAGTATTTATATCTGAAAAATACTGTACAAAAAAGAACTTCCTATAATTACTCTGTATAAACATTAAACAATTTAATAATCTCTCCTTTTGGTCAATAGTAAACATTTAAATTGATTGGATTAACCGCAGTCTGTGACAATGCCATCCCCCTTCTGAGATACACCAGTGTCTTTTACATTCATTTTCAGAAGTCCACTTTATAAAAGCACATCCGTTCAAAAGCAAACAGAGAATAAGAAACACGAGCTCCAGAATTATTAATTTATGAAGCATTCAAAAATGACACCACTAGGAAAAAAGGTCTTACAAAACATCAACTCATTAACTTAATCAACTGATTTTTAAAAACAGCAAGGTATAATTCACAAAAATATATATATTACAAAAAATGGGGCAAACTGAATCTTAAGTAATTGAATTGCTTTGAATATCAAGAGGGATATGGAAAAAGTTAACTAGAAAAATTGGGAGTGGGTTATAGGGGAG